ATAGGTAACATACATAGTGTATCCCCTAAGGCATATCGCATTTATACCAAATATAGTACGGAGCATTTCATTAACTTAATAAAAGAAATAATGCTGTGCCATTCAAGGGATGTATCATGTTTACAGTTCAAATATAAATCAACAAAACTGAAGAACGGCATGACAAACGTACATGACGTTCTGTCATATTTCTAGCTACCAAAATTTCCAGGCAACAGATGGGAAAAATATTCAATTATCATGTAGAGATAAAAGGTGAGGGAATGCCCCCCCCCCCCCCCCCCCCCCCCCCCCCCNATTCGAAGTCCTATCACCAGGAGCAGTAGGGAGATACATGTACATATTTATGACGATGGAATGTATTGCGTGTGAACTAAATATAGATACAATGAAGAGTTGCGGTCGATCCCGTACACGTACACGTGTCTGTTCTATTTGCGCTGTTATAAGTTTCTGTTTTGGAATGACGCATAAACAACCCTGGCACACTAAATATAACCCACTGACATAATAAATGTTACATAATCTAGACTATGTTATACCGTTGCTCAAAGGTTGGGTAGAGTAAACCAGTGGTTAGGAAAAAGTTTAAAAATGTATACAACAAAATTAGAAACATCTGACATCATTTTTCTGGTATAAATGTATTGATACAGTTCAGATTGATGTGTTTAGAGGATTTATTTAACTTTAAATGCACTTGCTGCCTCTTATCCGCAATAATGTGAAATTTTCACTAATCAATGGGTAAAGCTAACCATTCTTTTATCAACCAGTTCCAGATCGCTTCGCGCGACACCTTCATATTACTTAAACAAACAAAGCATACTAAAATGGAAACCCCAACGTGTCAACATAAAATTCTGAACCTGGAAGCTAAACATTTGTTAGCTTGTCGTAAAAGATGGTAGAAATGAATATCACCTGTGCTTTGATGTTACAAACTATACACATCTTTAAGATGCACATCAAATAAGAGAACTTTTGATTTATGGATAATCCTGTTCAATAAGTTATGAAATTATCAAAATGATAAAATGGAGGGAAATCGGAAAGAATGTGTTATTTTGTATTAAAACTAACAAAACTGTTTATAGTTACTTTGTTAACTTATATATATAATAAAATAATAAGTATCCCAAATCGACCGCTAGGCTTTTCTGTCTTATTAGGCTTCTTCAGGCGGATATATATATACATGTATATATATAACTGCATAGTAAAGCGTACGATTACAAGCACTTTAAATATAGACACACACCCTACTTGAATCTACTTGACTTGTGCATAGATGTCATACGACATGAAGTACATACTGTACGTATCACTCTACCGTCATCTCAAAATCTGGTGGTAATTCAAATTATAGATATTTAAGCTTACTCATAATGTTAGGAAATTAACTTCCTTATTAATTGTTTAAGGTGAGTTGCTCATCAACACATTTTCTTGATTAATCCACAAGTACTAGCATCGTCTGATGATACACATGTAATGCAGTCAATGTTTCGTACTCGATTGCCCTAGTGCAATGCTATTGTTTAGGAAAATCATCGATTGTGTCATAACCATTGATAACAACGAGAGTTGACAAGATGAATGTATAATTAGTATATAAACAATTTTCACATATTTGCACTGTATAATATATGTATTTATTTTTGTATATGAATTAGAATGCACACTGAAAGCATGACCAACAAATAAATACTATTTTATTAATGAACTTCTTTAAACAGTCAATGTGTAGCCGGACATTGTGCTGTCCTAGACAAAACACCACTAATTTCTACTGGGTTTTGTTTTGTTTTGTTTTGTTTACTTTATATTGTTTAACGTCCTATCAACAGCTAAGGTCATTTAAATGCGTGGCTCAATGTGTACAGGAGACAGGGTATATTCAGTTTGGTGTACTTGCTTCCTTGTGATAGCGCAGATCTGATGCCGTTTTTATAGTTTATAGTTTTTATATTTCTCACTGAAATATTATGCCGAAGGCACCAAGCACAGCATTTCGCATTTCGAACCCACTACATGTGCATGTTAGAATGTTTACTTTTGTAGTACAATTTTACTACAATAGTTTTTTTTTTGCTTTACACTCCAGTCGAGTGTTTAAGCTGACCAGGCTGACGATTTCCCCCAATTGTTGTGAAAATAACACTGGTTGGTTATCAGCGTTGTCGTCACAAAAGTGGGAGAAACTAGACATCGTTCTGATTTGCTATAGTGAGCATCTGTCTGTAATACTGTAACAATAATTCCAAACAAAAGCCGAAATCGTGATTTTAAGCATACAAGCACGTGATCATGAACGTGTATTTTATTATTTTTTCGTTCTTTTATACCCATAAAATAAACTCGCTTAGAGAACATTACTTTGATAAGACCACGATATATAAGGCGGGTGTCGACGATTGAGAAGAACACGCTTCCCCTTATAGAACACCGTGTCTTATTCTTCTTGTACTTTTCCAAAACGTCTCCATGTAAATCGTTCTTGTGTTCATATTTGTATTTAACCCTGATCTTATGGATTTTGAGTTCCAATTATGGATTTGTTGATACTTCGATATTTGCTAAATTGTTGTTTTTGTTTTTATGTTTATTTCTTTAAAGCAATTGTTTTAATACGTGTTGATATGGGTTTATTTTCTTTTACGTCACACCATCAATACTAACTACTGTTTATGCATCTAATGTGGTGTAGCGTAGTGCAATGTAGAATTGTTTTGTAATGTTAATGATTTTTCAATCATATGCAATTAGATTTTACGGAGTTCAAGACAAAAGTAACACTTGTAAGTTTAAAGTATTAAACCATATCAATAACTTGTAAAATGCTTAATCGCTTTGTTTTTCATTTAGCATTAATTATTACATCTGTTAGAGCCTAAAACAAACAGATTTAAACGGGAAACTCTTTTAACAGACAACCTGGGATGTAATAAATTACGTTTCAACTCTCTTTGTAAAAACACCAACTACATTTGTTTCACATTGAACTTATTATGTTCACTTCAGTACTTCCTGAATATATAAAGGATTTTCCAAAATCTTGTTTGTTCGTGTGTTTCGTCTCCAACTAGGATCCTGTAAGACGATGTCTTTTTGTCATCTGTAGGCAAATTATATTTGAATAATAATAAATCTAAAAAATAGACAGTTTGATTTCTTTGCACTAGTTTAAGGTTTGAAAATATCTGGAAACGTTATCAAAGCTTGTGGTGTCAGTGTGTCATTTGATTTGATATTTTAGAGAATGAAAGGGGTTTTCATTATTGTATAGTTATCATTTTATTGGAAATACTCGCACGGGATTGATTTCGCTATATTCACGATCACAAAAAATCTGTGAAATTAATACCCCGCTGATGTTATTAACATGGTTTGGTAGCGAAGTTGATATTGCACTCACCTTTCACCAAACCGAACGAACGAACATGAGAAGGTATTGGGTCATTTGCCCGATACGTGGGTTTTCTCCAGGTAATCCGGTTTTCTCCCACATTTTGATCCTCTGTGAGCGCTTCCATCCGGGCCAACCTGCGGAACATTGAATATAAGTTTAAAAATTGGTTTCATCATTGCTGCAAAGTAAAGAAAGTTCATATTTTCTGATTGTTCTGAACCTCATATTTATTTTAATGAGTATGGTTAAACTTTTTAAGCCGAACGCACCAGATTTGGACACATTCCTTTCAATAATTTCCATTTCAGTTTGTAAAACGACAAAAAATATTAATTAACAAGTGAAGGTGATATTTTTTCACCCCATTACGACAACCTGGTTTCACGTACAAACGTACCATATTAAAGGAAGGCATCTTCATGCAAATTGATTTATTAATCCAAATAATTTCAAAGACACGGACCAGAGATTGCCGAAAATGGAGGAATTCAGATAAATAACCCTCTTTACACACGAGTTTTAATGTAATATACCATAGAGTTATAAGTAATTATGTCAATTTCATTTCTAAATATGCATTTTACTTTTTCTTTGAAAAACTTCAAGCTCAAAACGACTGCAGAAATGCAAGTATAGACAAAGAAAATGCATTTTCACATAGATAAACAGAGCATCTGGCCATAAAGAAAGTAAGGGTAGAATTTTAAATATAACATCTTGAAACAGTTCACAATTGTTCATGGCTTCTTTCTAACAGCGATAGCAGCTATTGGCAATTTTATTAGATCCACAAAAGCGAATAGGAATTTATAAGAACATTGGATGTAATATTTTCATAACAGACGTGTTGGTAAATTTGACAGCATTTATTGAATGTATTCTGTCAAAGAGATCTAAATAACTTTTGGAAAATGTCAAAAGAAGGTATGAGAATAAAGTGCTGATAAACTTATTGTAACGATGAACATTGCTTTGTTCTTTTTCATGTATTTTGTACTTACTAGGCCTATTTTGTTAAGTTAAAACATAATAACTTTATTTACCGGAGAAACATGTTTAACGTGTTTGCTTTGTCAATGAACTAAGCAAACTTTGACGTAAACAAGCTCATTATTGCATTGTTTTTTAAAGACCCATATCGGTTGTAGGCAAGTTTACACTGTATGGTGACGTTTACTCTACAGAATTGTCCACTGAGAGAAAGGATAGTTCAAACTTTTCGTGCTTCATTTTTATAGTAAATAAATGTATTCGTACATTGAATGACTTTACACATATAACATGTAAAATACATCTCAATACGAACGAACATAGTTCAAAGTCATACGACGAATGGCCCCTTCTATCAGGTTTTGTTCACGTGAACAACTGAAGTTGGTTTTTCCAGGACTGACGAATATCTGATGTAGTACACACGTTTGATACGAACTCCTATTATTGCGCCACCGAGTTTGTATTGTTATCAGACTATGTATCACATAACTTGCTGTAACGTTCGTGACACCCTAACGTATTGGCTGGCACGGTATCACACTGCATTGACAGCGTCCTATTAGGTGTATATTGAACATCATATTTTGTATTTCAGGTGTTTTGCCAGATGCGTGAACCTATGGGATAATGGTAGTACGACGACGACCTAAGGTAAATATAGTTACGACAGTTTTTGATTTGAACAGATTTAATTGACTTTGTAAATGTATATGTCAATTGGATTGGATATCAGGCTAAGCTTGTTAAAGTCCTTTCGAAACCTATTTACAACCACTACATATATTCTGTTACGATATTTATGCTTAATCTATATTATGACACTACATTGTTTGGTATTTTGATCAGTCATAATAATTTAGCTGTTTGAGTTTGGAAATAAGGATAACTCTGGGGTATGCATTCTCCCACGACATACTTCTAAACTTCAAGCACACAACGCTAAAGCATCAAAGAAATATGAGAACCACCTTATGAGGTCGAAGGACTGAAGCTGAGCCCGAGGGCTGATATGGGTCGAGGGTTGATCAAGGGAAGGATATGAAAATGGTGATATTGTAACCATTTTTATCGTATGCTACATGTTGTAAATATTCAGAAAAGGGTTAAAAATTATCAGCAATTACCAGGAAGTGTAATCAAGGCGTGTTAACATTGAAATATTTGTACATGAATTAAAACAGGGATGTCTCGCGCTGGGCAGATATCGCGTGTTAATAGGTCAGGAATAAGGCCTATGCATACATGTAGCTAGCCGTATCGCATATGCAGCACCACCTATTTCATGGACAAATATAGTCTGAAAATCTGAACATTAATGAAAAAAATTGTAATTGTTCCAATTGCTAAATTTAAATCGATGATTAGTCATCTTTCTACCGATTTTGACTAATCGATCAAGATCACCAATGATCGATCAAGGTTTAACGATAACGTATTTGGTTTACCATAAACTACATTCAAATACCATTATTATCAGTAGTTAGGTAGTTAAAATGTATCCAACACATTTTACCCAGTTTTGGTTATTTTTTATCATCAATCATTTAATAAAAAAGTAATGACCAGACATGAAATTAAAATTAATTCCCAACAAAGTAAAATAGTTTACAATATATTTCTCAAACAAGATGCTTTTAAAACCTGCATTTAAATTCCATACTAAATACACATCTCAATGTACGGTTCACAGTGAAAGTCTTAAATTTAGGGAACCGATTTTTTGCGGTTTCGTTATTACAAAAAAATTACGACTTTTCAATTTTAATCAACGCATCTGTTATTAAGAGAGAATTTTCGATCAGAAGGGAAACACATTTCGTGGGTTATGTATTTTGCGCATCATGCGGATGTATCGCAGCGAAAATAAACTTTCCGCGAAATGTGAACGCTATAAATAGACCATAACGAAACCGTTATCCAAGAATAATATGATTGCCTGATATATAATGTAATTAAAATCCAAAAAAACAATGATAACAATTTGAATCGGTATAGTATGCAAAGTTAAGAACTGTTATTGGTTGAAATAAAATAGGAGTGTACTGATTATATGTAGCGACTTAACGAAAATTACTTAATTTTATATTCATCTGATTCATGTCTACGGTCAAGGATGGCTGAGGGCTAGATCATTTTAAATTGTATATATCTTTGGGTTGAATATATTGCTATTTCTCGATATATGTTGTAATGACGTTTTTATTATTAACCAATACAGAAGAAAGGAAATGTGAGAGTTGACGATGACCTACCTGTAGACGGTTTTAGGTCATTACCAGTTGCAGGTGATAACCAGGTAAGTTGTGGAATCCCTTTGTCATTACTTAAGTTGCACTTACCATGCTTAGAAACTAATAGAATGAATGATCTATTGCTTTATGAACTTTTCAACTAGTAAAGCAGTAAAAAATGCCATCGGGTTTTAATAGAAATCCATGCTACTTGAGACACAATTTATCTACAAATGTATTCGAGTTTATTTGTTTTGACATGGTTCGGTTTTTTTTAACATTACATACGAACATGCTGATCTTATTGATAAATGTATTCGAGGTTATTTTATAATTCATATAATTTATAACTTAATGTTCCAGAAATGTAATACAATAGGTGGTTTAAAAGAAATCGCGTTTCGGATGCTTACATTTATTACTGTCAGGCAAAACCCCATCAACACAATTATTTAGCATATTTGTATGAACCTTTTAATATCAATTTTCAAGTATATAATGTTAAATTATATCGCTCGGCAGGAAACATTGTGTGATGCAGTGGAAAACAATGACGAGGCAAAGGTCATTCAACTTTTAAAACAAGGACAGGGGTGTCGTCCCAATAGTCAGAACAAATTGGTGAGTAAATAATTAAATATATTTGAGGTTTACGAGTTCTGTATCCCAGACCTCTTGGTTATATAAAGCAGTGTATAAGACCAAAGTGCTACAGGTCATGATATTAGTTACGTTTGCACGTTTTTGAAATCTATTACAGGGGATAATTTCATCATTTTCTAATTCCCGAAAATGGCCCTAAACTATAATGTCATTGTAAAAACATAGAGGACATAAAACATGTCATTATTAGGATTAACAGATCAGAACAAATTTGTTAGGTCTGTGTACATGAGAAAAGAGGTTTGACACTCGACATTAGGGATCCCTTACCTCTATCATAAACTGCAACTATGCATTTGAAACTCATTTTTCCCGCATAACTATAGCTTCGATAATTCGTTTCTTAAAAAAACATGACCTTATAGAATTCTTACGAAAAAACATGACCTTATAGAATTCTTACGAAAAAACAGATATAGGTGAAATAAACAAAAAATATCATTAGCATTGTTCTGACTAAATATTAAGCGAGGCTAGACGAAAATTCCAACCCTGGACCTCAAATCGTTATACTGTCGCTCTACATGTTTTTTTTTTTTTTTATATATATATTTTCCAAAATGTTTTGACATAAACATATATATATACATACAATGTACATGGGCGTCTAGAATTGCCTTTAAATAATGTACATACTGTTCAAAATATTCGATCAAGTATCAGTATTCGCCATACATATATATTACCAAATAAGTAAACATTCTCATTTTTGACAAAAAATAAACTTCCGGATATACATTTTGTAACTTAACTATCTGGCTTATAGTGATAACCATAAAACTTAAGGGGAGGTAACTGTATATACACTTAAAACCACAGAGGCAATTTGTAATGTTTGGCCTGCAGTGGAACAAGGATCATCAATGCATGCCTGCATTAGCTAATAGTCATGCAGTCCATTTTATTGGGATTCATTTTATTTGTAGACATGCCTTCATATCGCCTGCCAGAGAGGGTACCAAAAAATCGCACGCCATCTCTTAGATCATGGATTTAACATCCACGCCTTGACGAAGGTAATGCTGCTGTTTAAATATATTTATGACCTTGCCTACTTACATGATGTCATTCAGTTTATAAGAATGTTTTTAATGATTTTATGAGGTTATGAATGTGTTATTACTGTTATATTTATGCTGACATAGTTTATGTAAGCAACGAGACACTCGAGGTCCATCCTCGATACTCCATGGTTATGCTCACTTTCGCTCTCTGCACACCCGGAATATGTCAAAGCAAAATCGAGGCCTCAGTGTGCGCCACCGTGTGGATGAGATAAGAAGGCTAAGTTAATCATTTGCTGAGAATCTTAACGGGTGTCGCTCCTCTACAAATCTTCAAAGGACAGACAACATGCAGGTATCGGCCTAGCGATTGGTCAGGTTTCTTTTAGATGAGAATGAGACCTATCAAATAGCTAGCCCCATGCCTACAATTTGTCTATGACATGTTCGAGGGGTGCAGAGAGCGAACGTGAGCGTAACCCCTCGAGTTTCGAGGATGCTCCTTGGGAACAGGAAGTTAATACCATATCCTTGTCAAACGGCTATCATAAATACATAGAGTGAATTGTTGCTTTTATCAGGACAGGTAATATAGGTAAATCAGCGTCTAAATCATATACATGTCAAGTGTATATTGATAATAGATGACCACGACTATCATAAATTATCAGTACAGGTAATATTGGTGAATACGCGTGCTAATCATATTCATGTTAAATGGAGATTGGTCAGTGAAGGGAATTTGGGTGAATCAGCCTCTTAATCGTATTCATGTCAAGTGGAAATTGTCAGTATGTGATCTTGGCTATTATAAATAAACACGGTAAAATATTTATAAATTTATAAATTACCTATAGGGGTAATAAAACATACGTTTGTGGTTTCATATAGCCTATCCCTTAAATTGTTGTTTCGTCGCCCTAGCTACCTGTAACACAGTTCTAGAACGATGATTGTAAATATAATAAAGAATATATCTAATATGCAAAATTTTTTTGACCCATATATACTACGCTGTGATTTTAACGTATTGATTCTTATGTATTTTGACGCGAAATATTTTTGAAAAAATATTATCTGTCCAATACATCATACCTTTTTACCTGGGATAAGAACACCATACCTATCTTATTTGAATAAGGTTAACTATTTATTACAGTGTTAAGCTAGAATGTATTATAGGTTAAGACTAACATGTTTAACAAATGTGAAGTTATACAATTCAACAAAACGCATAAACGAACTAAAGGATTATGTGACTTTGTCTTGAATATAGTAATGACCAGCTTCCGATTGACCCGTCATTTATTTTGATATAATAATGTTATTTTTGTTTTGCAAAATAATGTATGTTGAGTTCTGCTAAAAATCAATTATTTTTTGCAAAATGATGAATTTTGTAATATGCAAATTAATGTGTTTTGCAAACGTTTCACATATATTTTCGTCATTTTGTAGTTCTGGTATTACCGTTATCAAAATATTTATAATAATGTTGAAGAGAGGGCTTTAATAGTGTTGTAAAAATCTGTGCCTATTCGATTGCTGTATATCAAGAGCAATTAAATATCATATGCAATGTATATACGGGATATATAAAACAAAAATGTCACGAGTACCTATGAGTCGATACGTATTTATGTTCGTTTTCTCCATTTTAGTGCTCTATGGCTTCAACAGGATATTCGTATATTATGCTTTGGTCATACCGTAGACAGACAGACGGACATATTCTTTATTTCCCTCTTGCGGAGATTTGTGTTCCCACTGAATTTTAGATTTGGGGGTATATTTGATACATTTTCAAGATTCAGTACCCATAGGCTCTTAGTAACATAGGGCAATTGTTGGAAACTGGGGGTACAACCAACTGATTCGGGAGTGAAAACCTCTCATTTGGGTGTTTCTGGGAACACTGAAAACATGTTTTTCTCTAGTCTTTTCAATACGAACTTATAATACGACATGACATGTTTGATTGACAGGAGTATAAGACACCACTCCATGAATCTGTGTGTAGAGGACAAGTCGCTGTCGCGAGAGAATTATTACGGAGGGGGGCGTCAACGGAGTCTAAAGACATTGTAAGTAAAAATGAACAATCGTTTTATTTCTGTATTTTAAATTTTTCAAATAAGAACAAATAAAAGTAAAATGTTTTCAAACATTATTTATTTATTTCAACAAATTTTATTGGACAAAAACTAATGGGAAATTTGGATGAGACAACAGGCTTAGCCTATATAGGTCATCTCCTAACATGTTTTCAAACATTACGTGTTCAAGGGAGACAACTTTTCTATCTTTCCTGCGATTTGTCGAGGACATTGTGCATAAACTAGATTGAGTACACAATGTCGTGATATTGTGATTTAGTGGGGTTTATTAGCATACCTACTCCTGTTTCGATGTTTAAGTACCCGTTTCTATTATTGATGGTATATATTGACTTGTGGTTCCTATTTGGTCCCTATGAGTTGACATTACATATTCTCAATTTCAAGATAAATTTTACTGTAGTTATTATCATTCGTGACGTTTTATTGCAAAGTAAGACGTTTTGGCTGTAGTTACTTACGAAGTTCTCCAATTCAATAGCTGAATGTTTGACACTGAAAAATCATATTGGAAGTAATACGAAATAGGAAATTATTATAAGGAACTTAATAATAGCCAGAAATAGTTTTTAATAGAAATAGAAACAGAAACTTAAATGTATGATAAACCTAAATGTATGATGTTTGTGTTATAGGTTTATAATATATATGTTTTCAACTTCTATTTTTTGCAACCTGTCATAAAATTGATATAAGGATAAAACATATAAGAATGAAAGTACCAACATTTATTCGAAGTCAAAATCAACAAAACTAGTGCAAAATGTTAACAAAGGAAAGATATACATGGATCCACTTGAAAACAAAAGATACACTAATAAGACCAGGTATTCCGGGAGAGGAAGCGTCTTTTGCTTCTTCGAAGACACCCATGTAAATCTGGGTAAGATAATAAACATTTCGGATTCCTAAGATGATCTTGCCTGCTTGTTAATCACCTCATGATTTGAAATTATATATGGGTGAATACATAGTTCTTACAAACAATCGAATTGTTTCAGAGATCATCCACTCCCCTGTTTGTTGCCGCTCAGAATTGCGAGAAACAAATGGTTAAACTCCTGCTGGAATTCAACGCTAGCGTGGAAGCAAAGAATGCAGTATGTATTTTTGTTTTGTCTCGATATATCATTGCTCTTTTATATGTTTTTGTTAAAGTAATATTTATGAAATATGACATTATGTTATATTTTGTTAAAAGATTTATTAGAGATTTATGCTTATTATCACGATTAAAACAATTCATAATCTGGGATTGCATTTTCTCATTTTCACTTTTTAGATATTTCTTGTTTATTTATCGTCTGTCTAAAATTCATGGATATTGTTTGTACAATTTCCAATTGATTCACCAGAAAAAAATGGCTGTTCCATGTGTCTGTGTCCGCAATGTTATATTTTGTTTGTTTGTTAGCTTTTTTTTTTTGAGGGCTGGGGGTAAGGGTTCAGACTTAGCATTTTTATGCTATTGCCAAAATGTGTTTGTGTACCTTACTGTACATGTTCTTATGTGTCGGTTTAATGGTTTACAAATTTGAAATATTTAGCTCTGAAACACCTATATAATGTCAATTTTTGCAATATTAGAATATATAACACATTGTAATTTTAATGTCGTAACATACTTAAAACATATTAATTTTAAAGACACTAATTTTTCTTATTAATTAAAAAAGCATGACTGCGTAAGTAGTTTTAAAGAGAACTGTTCAATTTATTTTAGGACCTTTTTTTCTCTCTCAAAATTTTAATTTGCTTTGAAGTCAAATAGACGGAAAAATATAACTTGTAATGAATAATTAGTTATGTTGTCTGTTATGTTGAAATTTAATCTAGTTAATTCAATTCATCAACAATACACATTTCCTATGGTTTAAGTGTTCATTGTAATACCTACGTACTTTACAGTTGGGTCAGTCACCTTTGCACGTGGCACGTACCGCCAGCATCATCAAAATCCTGGCCTCAAAAGGTCTCGACATCGATATAAAGGTAGGTCAGTTTGTTAATATGTATATCCCTTATGCAAACAATGATATTGAGATATTATTATATAATATAAATCAAAGAAATACTATATGTTTAAAAGAAGAAATACGAGGATTCTCAATACAAATGGAAAAAAACCTCTGATTCTGTCCCCCTGTAGCCAAATTACATATCGGCCTTTCGTATACATATTAATCTTACCTTCATTTTGTTTCGATGTAACTACCGTCGACACCACACGATGGCTCAAGTGAAGTGGTTAGAGTGGCAATATAACAATTTCAAGTGCATGGGTCTTATCCTGGTCTAGCCCCGATGAATTTTATTTTGTTTATTTCATCTTTATTATTTTCTTATTTTAACCGCAAGTCAAAGTTATATTTCAAAAAATGATTTGTGAAAGCTATAGACTCGACGGAAAAATCAGTTTCAAATGAATAGTTATGCAGTTTTAAGCAGTGATACGGGGATCCTTAAATGTGATTCTGTTGACAGATCAATCATTATAAAATTAAATAGGAAAGAAAAAATAAATGTTTGGCTCAGTTACTTTACAACGAGTTATGTCTATGGTCATCCTCGATACCCAAGGTGTTATGCCTGCTATCGCTCTTTGCAACCTTGGAGTATGTCATAGCAAAAATAAAGGCAGGTAAAAAACACCTGACCAATCGCTTGGCTGATACCTCACCATTTTGACCGTTTTGTGACCGACAGATTCTATTGATGTACACCAAAGGATCAAACTAGTCTTCTCGCATCATCCTGAAGCGGTACAAACTGAGCCTGGAATATTCCAGGGGGGGGGGGGGGGGGGGGGGGGGGGGNGATAGTGAGCGTAACCGCTGTAGTATGGAGTATGGCATATGGTGAAAATAAAATCTTCCTATGTATGTGGTTTGTTATATCTTCTGGATCGATATGATGAGCACTTTTGTATTCAGGGGGTTAATTATTATGCCTACTCAAGAAAGAAAATATTTATGTGAAAAAAAAAAAATCGTTCATGCATATTTATTCATATAGTCATAGATGATAACGACCTGTCCCATTATTCTTTTTTATCTGAAAATTTCTTGTGTTTTGTCTATTTTTCATATTTACATCATTCATTATTCAATCATTTAGGGTGACCATGGGTGTACTCCTCTTCATTGTGCATCTCGAGATTTTGACGTAGAACTTATCAAGACTTTGCTGGACTTAGGAGCGGACCCAACTGTGAAGAACAAAGTACGTAACCATTACATGAGTTTAACAGAGTTTTCCCACAGCCACTCTCACGTTGTATATTAAGTGGTACAAAGTGAACCATGTCTTAACTGATGTAGGATATTTCCCGACATCCTGTTTAATGAAGCATATTGTTAGATTCGGCTTAGTGTTAAATGGCGGATTACATCGATAAAGCAGAAGACGCTTACCCTTCCAGAACACCTGGTCTTATTATCCATATACTATTCACAATGTGTCCATGTAAATATTTCCTTTGGTCGTTTTTTGCCCTGGTTTTATACATTTTGAGTACGAATTATTGTTTTGGGGACACTTCAATATTCACTTCTTGTTGTTTGTTGAAATCGCCCATCCATAAAATAAACACCTTATAAAACATGTGTAATATATTGTGATACCGATATATTGTGTCCGGCAATGTACCACTATTATGGCTATATGAGTTCCTAACATTTTAGTTTCTGAACTTTCTACATTTAAGGATGGGAATACGCCAAGAGATCTCGCAGAGCCTCAAATATGGCAAGAGGATAAGACAGCTCTCGACCTATTGAGGGAAGCCGAGAAGAGGTTCGATCAAAATCCCGCCTCTAACTCAAAGGATTACAAGGTAGGTTCCAGCAGTCATATATTAGGTATATTCTGCTGATTATGTTGACTGGATAAAAGAAGGAGCAAGGTAAATTGTACATTTGAAATATTGACTTGTTTTAGGTAGACAATGTTTTTATCTCTCCATGTTACGTGTGATGTCTCAAAAGCATTCAATGTAATAAATACATTATGTAATAATGCAGTTTCAGATCATGTCGAATTGGTTGAAAAGTGCACACATATTCACACCTTAATGTTTAATACGAGTGTCAGTTTGTTAGAGTGATTAATGTTATAATTACTTTTCATGCTATGATAAATGCTTTAAATAATGTATTTCGGGAAAACATTCGCCAAGTTAAATATTCGTTGGTAATATTCATAATTGCGCAGTGTTAATTCGTTCTTCACAGAATATATATATTACACACGTAAGTAGTAAGCCGTGTACGGATATTCGCCGCCATGATGAAATCACCCTCCTTATAAGCTGTCCAAAAGGGCTAAACTGAGACGAACATTTCCCGGCATACATAATATGTTTGAGATGGGTTAACATAAACCACAAATAACGAATTTGAATGTTTCAGAATATGGCAGGAAATAGCGAAGATGTACCTGTAGTAAATCAATTCATAGGTAAGTACCCACAATTGTAATAAGAAATATACGTATGTTCATCTATATTGATAACTTATAACACATAGTTACCTGTGTACACAGTAAACCTGTGAAAAGCAGCAGAGCAGGGCCCTTGTTCATGAAACCGTTCTCATACTCAATCATGAATTCTATGCTCAAACCAACTTTCTGGTAACTCGCTGAAATCATATCAGACGATCAAAAGGTCAAATGTAAACCTTGAAAACAGTTTTCGGCTGTAAGTCTCTGCAATGTTTTCCAAATCATTGACAAAATAAGATTTTTTATGAATTTGTAACGGTAGCAAGAAATTCGGCTTGAGCACAATATCCATGCTTGAGCATGAGAACGGTTTCAGGAATATGGGCCCTGATATTACAGCATACTCCTTTTAATTTGAATGAAGTATAAAAGTAGTTTTCATTTTAAATCCTAAGCAGAGCCATGTTTTATGTATTTTTTTGACATTTGTCTCTTATTTTAATTGTCATCAGTTGCCGACATGAGCAAAGATAGCAAGAAATCTGCTGAAAAGAAACTAGAGACACCAGGGGTTTCTGGAAACCAAACGCAGAAGGTGGATACAAAACAATTATTTTGATCTTAATCAACATTTCTACTACAACATCGATGAGTTCAGCATTAATATATCAAGACTTATGCTTGCATTGATATGATATCATTTATATAGATAAATGGAGAATAAGGATATTATTAGGAAGGATTAATAAGCTAATGTCAGGAGCGAGACTTATCCTACATCAATATATCTACTGAAGGTACGCTAATTTGAAAAAACCCAATTTGTATGGCATTTGGTTCTATATATAGATTTTGTCAGTTATAACACATTCCATGTAGTCATAAATTTGTTGAAGGTATCTTTCCCAGGATTCTGTTTGTAGTAATTTTGGCAAAACATTTTCTCTCAGGAGACATCAAGAAAGGACCAAAATGCTCGACCTGAATGCAACAACGCGAATTCGACAACTCAATCAGCTACTTATCAACTTGAAAAGACCATTAAAGGTATTCCACATGGTAATCCTAATACGAAATATTCCTCACATTTATGTGAATGCTTTGTTACATTGTTTGTAGTCTGCAGAGGTTGTAGGGTTTTAACGCTCATGAAGTACTGGTAACGTTTCAGATCGTTGCCTTGGAGACATCTCAGATAAGGAGCTGGGAAGGATAGCAGGAGTCCTAGACAAAAAGCAGGCCAAACAATTGAGGAGGATGGTTCCAAAGGCATCGACACATCGGATCGAAGAAGATGAGAAAGGGAACTGCCGAAACCAGTATTTTCAACTACTGAAAGTCGTTCAATCAAGAAACAGAAAAATGTATTTCGCAGATTTTAAGAAGAGGATTAAGTTGACCAGGTCATCTTTACGTCAGGTAATTATAAATACTAATAAGATGCACTGCAATGACGCGCGTCCTTTTTATCGTAATCATTTTAATCCAATTACCTTATCATATGACTGATTTTTGTCAGAATTGTTTGTTTTATTGTACAATATTTTATATTTGTTACAGATGTCGCACCAAGAAAGGATTTGCATGGAGATAGGTAGGTTATTTATTTACAGTAAGTTAAAACTCAATAGTTTATACATTTCTAACGGAATAAAACATTCTATGTTCAGTATTAATTAGTTATAGTTTTCATTACAATTGAACATACGTCTTAAGAATCCCCACATCACTACCAAAATATCGAAATATACACGGAAACGTGTTTTTCTCTGCATGACTAGTATTGATGAATCATTTCTGACGGGAAAAAACAAAAACATTGCGGAACTTTCAGGCAAACAACTATAAACAACAAAAAACAACAACCCTGTAATAATATAAATAAGATTATCAATAATATATCACTTCATTCATCAGTGTTATTTTGGTCTGGTTGAAAGCAATGGGTGTTTATGTTTCTAATTAATGCAAATGCATGTATCACCACGTTTATGTTCTGCTCTGTTTCGCGAATCCTATATTTGATATGAGGACGTGCTTGTATGGTAAAGACGTGTGCGTGTATGTTCTGTTCATCTTATTGTGGGCCCGTATTTTTAACGGTGATTTAAATTCAAATATATGTGTAAGAATGTCTAATGTTTAAGTTTCACTTATATTACAGAGATAGAAAAGTTTCAGCTGACCAAGATCAAAATAACAAATCTGCGTCTGACCACAGTACTATCAATGGTAGTTAGCAAGCATTATTATATGCTGGGTATCGAGCTTGGACTGGCTTCAGAGACTATGAATGAGATCCACGAACTCACAGAGGAACTTCTGTCCGAAAGGTGTCACCAGACGCTACGCAAGGCCAAGGAAAGATTCCCCAGGAAAACTTGTGCCGACATAGTGCGAGCTATTGCCAACCTGGAACACGATTATCACAGAGCGATGGAACTACTTGTGCAATCTAAGCATTACCCGATAAGATACCAATAGCATGGTATGTGACGTCACATCGCCAGATGATATTCTAATGCACTTTTAGCAGCTTAGCATTGTATTTTTAAGGTCTCAAAACTGACCACTGTTCCTTAAAATACGCATGTTTTATTGACTGGTGAAAACTTAAAAACAAAAATGTTTCAAAGTCATAATCAAATACCGGTGTTTAAAACCGTTGTCCCGGATTGTTATTTATCCTTATAAGGTTGTTTTTTTCTGAACGTTTAGGAAACAATCGGAACACTGTGGTTTTTTTTACCATTAACTGATATTGTTGAAATATACCTCATGACATTTTTTTTATATTTGGCCTATATTAATGTATATTTGTTAAGAAAATGATTGTTGATAAAAAGTAAACAAAATACGTTATAATTTTTACCTGAATCTGCATTTCATTAAAACTAGTCTCCATCGTTATTAAACTAGGATGTATGCAAAATACAGGAAGCATCGTCAGAACTTTGATACATTCGTGTTAGTTGTTACAAATTATACCGTTCACAATATTCAAGACCACGAAATTGAATATTGTTGGATAAACTAGGCTTATAACCAAATGTATTCTACTGCAATGTTTTTTGTAAAACGGTAACCCTTCGAGGGTTGATGAGTTTTCATTTAAGAATTCCTTCCGAAGGCCAAGAAATGTATAAATTAAAGAAAATGGTTGTCTGGGATATACTAGTTCGATTAACTTATGTTAAACAATGAAAACAGGTCACAGAAACCAATCGCTGAGACTTATCTCGTACTTTGCGGAAAAGATAAGCATACCAAATGCGTTGTCGACAACAACCTCCGTAATATCCGGCGATTACCGTGATGATTGACTAATCATGTATTTATTTAGCGCCTCGAGAGATATAGCTCATCATCTAACTGTGTTGAGACTTGACAGTCGTATATTGATCGCATCTTATCTTTTGTTTGAAATCCGCCCACACTTCATACCTCATTTTATATTTTAAGCAATCAAGCTTCAATATCGGTAGACTAAAATGATACATTAATTCCAGTTACCAGTGATGTATTTTTTAAGTAGATTATTATTTATTTATTATATCATTAAATTATTTTTAATGACGAAAACTGTCTTTTTGAATTAAGTTTATGATTGAAAGTTCAAGGGCGTTGTACTTTTGTTTTCTCCTCTCTTAACTGACTTCATTATTTTGTGCTTTTGAGATGGAAGAAACTTTGTCCAGGTATTCGCAAATATCTTGACTCGAAGGTGACAGGCGAAAGTGGATATTCAGTTTAAGTTTTGTTTATACATGTGATGCCCTGTGAATTATAGTAATGACATTTTCTTTGTTTGTCACAGGGTAGTACTTTTGTCACGTGATTTGCCTATGGGACCATTTTGAATATTTTTGTCAATGTGATGCTTTGCAGTTTGCTTCAATTAACACTGTGAATCGCCTTGAATCAATCGACCAAGTGACTAAGATTGTAACACATTCTGTATTATCCTAATCGTGTTGTTGGTCATTGCGAAACATGTGTCTAAAGTTCGAAATGAACCTGACTGAACGAGAATATATAACTGCTCAAATCAAATTGGGAAATTTCAGGTTATCGGTAAAAAAAAATAATATATATATATATTCACTTTGTTTTGATACAGTGCCTTGTCAAAAGTGTCGTGAAAACAGAAAAGTAAGAGAACTAAATGGCATGTTCATACAATGGCAGGCAGCCATATATATATTTATTAAAAAAATACTTTTTCATCTATTTTGAGATTTTGAGTATATGTTTACAGTGATTTGATTTTGATCATATTAATTAGATGAAGACTTAGCTACATTTCCATCAATCTGTTTATAAGAGTGTTTGGTGGTGGGAAGGAAGGGACATACAACCAGCTTTAAATGTGCCTTTAGTCAACAAGTCACTTGATATAACTCATAGTAGATTTTTTTATACAACACATATTTTTGTGGTACATTTATACATTTACTGTCTGGCAATTTATTGACTTAGATGTGATATTTGAAATCGAAGAACCCTCCTACTTGAAACCACCCAATGTAACAGTCTTTTTTGTAATTATTCATTTTTTTTTTTTTTTTTTTTTTTTTTTATATCGAAATGCTGTTATTTGAAGCTAAAATTACAATCACCTAATATAGGGAAAGCAGCTTGTTTTTTTTATTATATGAAATCCAATGAAAGCACTTAGTGCTGCTTATGTTAGCTATATAGGGTGCTATATGAAATGTTGTATATTATAATTTATTATTATAAATGTAAAGGAGTTTCAAATCTATGGGTTGATATAAATTGATAATTGAAATTTTCGGGACATTTTGATTTAAACATAGTGCAGTAACGTAATTCGCAGTACCACAGACACACAAGTATATGTTCCCATATATAAGTTCATTATAAGTACAACTGTCCGTCCCTGAAATCCAAGAGTCCTGCCCTCGATGATTAACATATTATCTCTGCACCCATGGATATCTCATGACACAATCAAAGGTTCTTTACGAAACACCTTGCTAATGATATTGGCCTAGTCCGATACCATTGATGATGACAATCAAATGAATCGCGCGGCACTGCAAAGGTAAAATCGACCGGTTTAAAAGTTGTGTGAAACACCTCTGGTGTCTGCGAAGGATATGTATCACCCTGGTCAGATTTGTATACCTGAAATCATTCAAATAGCTTACCCGAGCCTTCGATTTTGTCATGAAATATTCCAGGGGTCCTGAGAAGATGTGTATATCAAGAACGAACTCTTGAATTCCATGGGTGTTTACACTGTGTTTGCGTTCCTAAGCATTGTCGGTTGACCTCACGACCAGTGACCCGACCAATCCAGATAGCAACAGTTCTCACTTAAATTAAATTCAATTTCTGGTTTTAGGAGGTTAATTTGCATTTTCTAGAACTGAAATATTCTACGATATCTGTATACCAAAATAACTACCTCTTCGTTTTTATTGTCGTTGATTGTTGTTGGTGTTTTTTTTGGCATTTTGTCGTGGTATGCTATGCTTAAATCGATACCACTATTTATCTGACACTTTGAGCTATATATTGCACTTAATGCTTACGTGTTAAACATGTGCTTTGAACGTAGAGGGCAAATCGTGTTACAGTTTCTTTTATCTCTTACGGATCACTCTAAAGGGAAGTGCAGATTCCTATGTTCTCGTTTTGTTAACTGTCTTAAGGGCAGTGCGAAGTGCTACATTTTTGTCTTATGGCAAATTTTCTTTGTAAAACATTAACATTTGCTTTAAAAGGGCAGTGCAAATGGCTACATTTTTTCTTAAGGCAAATAGTCTTGGTAAGTATAAACATTTGTTTCAAAAGGGCAGTGCAAAGTGCTATTTTTTGTCTTATGGCAAATTGTTTTGGTCAAACAAGCATATTTGCTATTTTAGGGCGGTGCAAAGTTCTTCATTTTTTTCTGATGACATTTTGTCTTGGTCAACATAAACATTAGCTTTTAAAGGGTGGTGCAATGTACAACATCTTGTCTTATGGCAGATTAGCTTGGTAAAACACTGATGTAAAGTGCTGTTTCTTTTCTTTCGTATGGCAAATGGTCGCGAAAAAACATAGACATTTGCTTTAAAATGGCAGTGCAAAGTACTAAGACATTTTTTCGTATGGCAAATTGTCTTAGTAAAACGGGGACATTTGCCTTGATCTGGAAGTGCAAAAGTACCACAATGTTTTGTTTTGTCTCGGTTAAACAAAGATATATGCATTGGACGGTAAGTGCAAATTGCTATCATATTTTCTTCTGACAAATTGTCTTGGTAAAATCTAGATATTTGCTTTAAAAATTTAATGCAAGGAGCTTTTTCTTTTCTTTCGTATGGCAAATTACCTTAGTAAAACAAGAACATTTGCTTTAAACGGAAAGAGTAAATTGCATCTAATTGGTTATGGCAATGTTTCGTGATAAACATAGACAAGGGATGAACATTGCTATTTTTTTTATTTTTTTTTTTGCTTATGACAATGTTTTGTATTAATGTAACTTCTCGAGGTGGAGGACATTTTATGTGATATGTACATAATATACCTGGAAATATGCTCTGATTAAGGAGGCAAGGCAGTCTAGTGGTAGGACGCCGAGCTCGTGACCGAAGGGTTGCGGGTTCGAGTCACGTCACGTCCCTGTGTTGTATCTTTGAGCAAGATACTTTACTCCGCATGTTCCAGTCTACTCAGCTGTAAATGAGTGCTAGAATTGTTGAATGCTGGCTCTTAGCGCCGAAAAGGCAGCTCCGGCTGTATGCTCCACAGGGAGTTGAGAAAGGTATTGGCTGATTGCAAAGGCCCTATAACAACGGATAATAATTTGTGAACCGCTTTGAGACGACCTACGAACTAGGTTGTGATAACAAGGTATATCAGAACTTCGAATTATTATTATTATTGTTATATATGTTAAACATGGACAATATCAAAATTCCATCCTATTGTTGTGATGTTTGTTGTTGTTTTTCGCTTTGTTTGTTTGATGTCATTTACATTTTAATGCTTCATTAATAAAATATTATATATTCTAAAAAGAAGTTATCTTTATTTCTGACCGACATTTTTCCCCAAATAGAAAGAAAATACAGAAATGAAACACAGTTAAAAACAAATAACACTGGACATACATGTTTTAATTGATACGATCTCGTCAGCAAAGCTTGGAGCCAAAACGATAAAATGTATGAAGTGTAAAAGACAAGTCAATTGTGTATCTTAAACAATGACTTGAAATACGACAAAATAATCATCTATTTGAAAATTGTGTCTGTACAGATGTCATTGCAGACAGCAAAACGGAATTTGAACTACGACTGATTCATACGCACATATCCCCTTGCGCTGTGTTTGTACATGTTTTGAAACACTTTGAAATGGATATTCACTCTGTTGACCATTTGTGCCACCGATGAGACAAAAAAGACATACAATTGTTTGGTGTAGCAAAACTTCAACATGTTTGGTTACCTGCATCTAGATTTTCAAATATGTGTTTGCGTCGTATATTTTGTATTTTCTTTTTTGTACGTTAGACGTCACAAAGATTCTAAAAACAAGGTTTTTGTGGCAGAATACGGACGTTTCTATGACCAGCGAAAAAGAAAAAAGTTCAGGTCATAAAAGATAATGGTCTGTGTGACTGAATTCAGACGTCTGTATGACAAACATTCAGCAGTCTGTGTAACAAAATGCAGAAATCAATGAGACAAAGTACAATAGTCTGTGGGACTGAATTCAGAAGTCTGTGTGA